AATGAATGAACTACGGTGGGATCATGCTCCTGTCCATACCAAGCAAAACATTAAATCGGATCGCCTCACAAAGACTAAAAGATTCATTGCATACAAAACTCCATTCGGATCAAGCCAAATTCAAGAAAAGTCAATCATGTGCTGATAAAATTGCAGCGCTACACATCATCATCGAAGATAGCATAGAATCGCTATTAACTCTCCGATTCGGCATCATCCACTTTGAAAAGTCTTACGACAGCGTCGACCGTGAAGTGATTTGGAGATGGGTTCAACTCCACGAAATGGAACTCAGAAAACATTTATAAACCACACTCAACAGCAATATGTTGATGCCATATTCAGAGTGATTCACAACGGAAAACTCAGCGAAGCGTTTGAAGGGAGGACAGGAGTAAGAGAACGATGATATTATTGATTGTGGTGGACTGCATCACACTACAGATCATGTGGCGTCAGTTGAACCGACAAAATACACTAGAAGATCTGGACTTCGCAGGTCATTTACGTCTAGTATCACACAAACTCGCAGATCTGAGAACGAAAGCCAACTAATTTGCTGAATGGTCAATGTGGACAAAAGTTCAAGTGGACTTAGAGAAGATACAGGTGATGAAGATATCTAACCAACAACAAGCACTAATTACCATCAACGAGAAGAACCTAAAGGAACTCACCTCTTGCCTCTAATTCATCGTTTCAACTACAAGCAAGTGGCACGGATGTGGATGTCAAAATCGGGACTGTGGAAGCAAGACAGACCTTCATTGCTCTGACATCAGTTTGGAATTATACTACATTCAGCACATGGAGAATAATTCAAATCTCCTACACTGATATCAAGTCAGTGATTCTCTACGGTTCAGATACTTGCTGCTGACGTCACGAAAAGCATTTCTAACAGGCGACTACAAAACTTCATTAGAAACTGTCTTCTCTGGACCGATACTGAAAGTCAGATGGCTGGCCAGAAAACATAAGTGACAAGGAACTTTGACAACGAAACAACCAGTAACCTATCGCTCAAGAAATATGCAGAAGGAAATGGAGATGGACTAAACACACATTGAGGAGGCGGTTACATGACATCACACACAAGATCTCCAAGTGGAACCCGCATGAGGAACGACGTCTTGAGCGTCCGAGGGTGGTATTGAAGAGACTGTGTGGAGAGGAAATGAAAGCTTGTGGGTGGTCGTGAAGCCAGCAAGAAAACACTGTAGAGAACAGAGTGAGGCGGCGATGTGCTCGGAGCCCAGGACAACAGTCATCACCTTGGAAAGCACATTTCAGGTTTTCAATCTACGAGTTATGTTGTACTGTTCCACCACGCGATACAGATGAAATTACACTATGCTGGATCTTTAACACAAGTTTACGAACGGTCTATGATAGATGTGAAAGGTAACTGGCATAAGAAGTGTTGTACTTTCATCAGCTTTGCCTGCACAATGGTGGATGCAAGTGAAAGTTGTGTCGTCATCCAGACACTGTAGCTCCATCTAGAGACATCTGTTCGCTACTCGACTGGACCTATGTTATAAACAGTTACCAGTGGCATTGGTGGCTCTTTTAGAGCATCTGATTTGAATCTGACAGTGCTTCAGTGCACCGTATGCTGGTTTAGCTTTCAGTAGTCATCATAACATTTGTTTCCCAATTACGTTGAGACAACTAACTAAAAGGTTTCCCATTCTATTGTACCTGACTATCACATATCGATTCAACGTCAACTACTGGTTTTTCAGAAAGTATAGACGGACATCAGCAGCTATCACATGGTGACATGATTATGGTAGGTAATCAAAGCCGCCAATCACGAAACTGAGCAGAATACTCGACAAAGTACAAGAGACCGAAAGAAAATACAGTTCAACCCACACTAACACCAGGAGTTAGCTGTTTTATTGCATAGGATAAACTGAAGCTTGTAGATACGTTCGCCAAAAAACCAAACGAAATGATCTGGATCAGACATATTAGCATAGTAAAGAAACACATATACAACAGCTACACAAAGGTTCACGTTAGCCGTAAAATACTAATAGGAATTATTAAATGTGGAATACTTTCATTAAGCATATACCAATACTCTAGTATCAATGGAAGCTAGATATATAATCTAATATACTAGGGGCGGCTTTTTCTTACAGCTGAACATCAATTTTTAATGTCAAAACATCATTTTATGACACAAAAGTTGTCATATATGACTGACAGTTAAATTGTTAATGCATTCTTAAAGTGTATTGAAAGGAGAAACGCTACACACGTTTTTCCACTCGGTTGTAAATGAATGCCTACGCGTTGCAGCTACTGTATAACCCACTCTGAAAAAAATGAATTAAATGTCCGCCATAGTTTTGAGATTTTCCTCTTCCATAACTACTGATGGAACTCACAATGGCTTCAGAAATGCAGACAACTGCCTTTGACCACAGGTATTTGAGCCCTGTTACCCTTCTTAAGTGGATAGTATGGTGAGTAGTATCGACGTTAGGCGTAGAGCGTTCGGTGAGGATGGTAAGTCAATCGATGAGGTTGTGAAGCCACATCGACTGAGATGTCTAGGACACGTTTTGAGAAGACCAAACCATCTCCTTCTTCAAAGAGCAGTGTGGTCGTCTGATCGAAACCCGGAATCAGTCCATGAAGAGTGGCAGTTGGTTTGAACCACATAGGGAGGTTTAGGCTGTCTAGTTGGAGTCCTTGGGATACTAAGAACCAATGATTGGAGGCTATTGGTGACATGGCTCAGAATCGTTTCCGATGGCGGAGACGCATTCACTTCTCGTAATACCCCATATCCACTAAACAGTCAAGTTTCTTTTCACACTGCTATTCATTCTCACCCACATTTCTGTTTATTATGGTCCTTTCGTATCTATTTTTCTTTCTTCTTTGTGTGATACATGGAGTGTGGCTGCTTGAATTGCTGCATGTATGGGCAAAGTTCTATATTAAAACACTGTTAGTCAGTCAAACGATGAGTAAATCGGAAGCTATTGGTCCGAATCTTGCAACCAGTCAGATTTTTACTTCCAGTCAATCATCACCAACCATATGAATATTCTACAAGTTAGGGAAGAATACATCCAAGAATAATCTGATCCATTTCTTACGCTCAATAATCAGAATGATATGTTCAAGTGATACTATCGACGGGGAGTTGGAGCAACTCAGACGGTCCCGAAGAAACTGATACTTATGAAAGCTGAATTTCAAGGTGATGCCGCAGCTGTAATCCTTAAGAATCGCTTATTCAGATCGCTGAGAAAAGCTTTCTTTGTGGCTGAGCCACGCATCAATTTATACAGCCAACAAATGATCAATGGATATGTGAAGGATAAACAGTCGCTTTGGGTCACTTCAAAGTGTGTTTATAAATTCACCTGCTCGTGTGGAACTAGTTATTTTGGCCACATAAGCGCACACTTTCCAAACGCATCTCTGTACATTATCCAGCATGGTTAGCAAAAGGACAATGCAAGACAGTTACCAGCTCAATTAACAAGCACTTGGTGAACTCGAGCCACGTAGCTCCACCAGAGTCGTCATTCAAAATAATCTACAAAGTGAGGCCAAATGGTACAAAGGGCGTCAGGTTTCGGCATTTGTATATGGCGGAGGCGTTAGCGATTCTTCAATACAACCGCGAACTCCGTATACAGAAAAAGTTCGTCCAGTCTCTTATTCTTATAGTCTTAAACTCTTCACTAGTCGTTCCCTGTAAAAGATTTTATTTATTTTTAATCTTCAATTTTACTTTGTTAATCAGTTCACTATTATCACTCTCATCTATTCTTTTTGTACGTTTTCACACCTTTTCCACACTTGTTAAGTTTAAAATCAACTACTTTTATTCTTAATCAGTAGCAATTTTAGCCTTATCAAATTTCTAACCCTTACTTCCTTTGTGCAGTTGAGTACTACGTAAATTTCAACTTCTGTTTTTACTTCTAAAGCCAAATCTGAGCAATTATATTAATTATGTCAGCTCCCATTACGCAATAATAGACTACTATACATTTTTGGTAATTATAAAGGCAAATTTCGCGAGATGATATCATTTCGTAGTTTCTTTACAACCGCTTTACAACTAACATGGTTAACAATAATTAAAATAAAGTTCATGACAGTCACTCAGTTAAATAAAGAAGTACATACTGATAACCGATCATATTTAAATAAACCATGTTGTCCATGGTAGGCGAAGATTGAAGTCTATTGTTTGTTGTACACACAGTTTAGGCCGTATGTGATTAATCCAAAGTTGTAAAGAAACTATGAATTATTATAATCTCGCGAAATTTGTCTTCTTAATGCCTTATTCAAATTTATCAAAGGGACTAATTGTGTTTAATTATAAAGACGACTGTACAGCCTCTGAAGATGATTTCGTTGATAAAGAAAATTTTATTCGCTGAATTGTTTTTTTATTTTCTTCATGACGCCAAGAATAGTGTAAAAAAATCTTACACTATGCCGGTAACTGCTTTTACTCTAATTGCTATCCTAACAACCTTCCTGGCATGGTAAGACCTGAAGGAACATTAGTTCCAGCCAGTGTAGCTTGTTGGGTGATTGAGATATGCAAGACCAACCACCACGTCGAGGTAGCAGCTATCAGTCGGGAAGCCACAGGGTATGAAGAGCTGAAGAAAAAATGAAAAGTTTGATCTAAGTCTTTCGTTTTAGCATCTTACGCTTCTCATCTTTCTAGGACGGTTCGTAGCTGCCTTGTTGCGTAGACATCTAGTTATCTACAGTGAGTACTATCCTCACTACTCTTCCTACGGGGGATTATATGCTGCTAGTTTTCCTGAGAATAGGTTTACGCTACCAAACTTACATACGCATACTAATACATGGTTAAAATCTATGGAAGTCTTGTTGAAGGACACTAAACGGTTTCTTGTCGGTTCACTTTGTAGAACTAACTAATCAACGACTGGAAAACATCGTATACTGAAATACAAAGGTTTTTTCAACTTATTTCTTAAGTACGGTGTAATAACAAGAATTCAGAGCCATACACATTGTATTTATCCAGGTATTCGACAGTAAACTACGAAAGGATAGTATTATTTATGTCCATTTTGATCTCCATCCTCTGACGCTTCTTCATCTTCCCCTTCCTCATCATCATCTTCATCCTCCTCATCATCATCGTCATCATCCTCGTCACCGGAAACTTCACGATTTGCTTTCTCTAATTCATCCATTTGACGTTGAAGATCGGCTTCATCTGTGTCGGAAACAACACGAGGCTAAAAGAAAAGAAAGGAAAAAAGCTAATTAGCTAACTATGGAAAAATGCATCCATCTCAATAAATAAAACCTTCCTTTACTATATATATATATATATATATATATATATATATATATATATATATATAGCGCATAAAGCAGGAGAAGCGAATGGAGAAAGATTCGAAAGAGAGATAACAAACAGAGATATGAGGCAAAAAGAATAGTGACATGACAGAACATTGGAGTTTTATTGGATCTGATAAACCACAGAGAGCGAATGCACTGCGTCATCCATCAAGAACGATTTTGAGTCATATCACATTATTGTTTCCAGCCTTCACTGGTTTTCACCAACCCGAAGACCCCAACCTGGATGTCTACACCTCCTTACGTCTCTGCCTTGTACTAACTGTTGTGGATTTCGTTGACTGGTGAAGCCATGTTTTCGTCTGACCACCACCGGCTATCTCTTTTCCAACCGAATGATCCATCCTATGTCAGCTAACATCGCTCATTGTTGTCGAGGAAGGCGATCGATGGCTGGTCATGCGTAACAAACACATGTACTAATCATCTCGATCGATGAAGCTTCACAACCTCATCGATCGACATTCCCTCCCTACGTAGCACTCGACAGATGCCTTACCTCGCTCGATATTGCTCACACTATCACATCTATCACCTAATTCGGGAGATAGAACTCAGACACTCGTGATCAAAGACAGCTAGCTAGTCAGGGTTTTCATATCTTCCACTTTCAATGACCATGTCTCACTAATAGCCATGAAGGAGGTCGAAGCGAACTTCTGAGCGGTACACACGTCCTTTGTTCGATAGCCGGTAGGATATCACGTCTACGCCGGAGATGGGCGTCATTTGGCTGGCATATGACAAACGAGATTTCTGTATCCGTGTCGAGATATCGTCAGCCACCAACCCTCTGGTACAAACTGAGGTAACTGCCCAAATAAGTGAAGTTGTTAACACGCTCTACCACTTCACTCCATATATATATATATATATATATATATATATATATACAGAATGAATACAGAATTCATATGTTAGTTTCAAGTAGTCATCCAGCAATCGTTTCTATTATTACTTTAACAACTTATAGATGTCCACTAAATCGAAAAACTACAGAAATGATGAGTTCCTGAATAATCAAGAAAACGGGAGAACATACGAACAAATTTGATTTTTAATGTTGTACAAATATGAGACACATGTTAACTATTTAACACAGTTCTATAGACCGCGTTTTCAAAGCATTTAAGAAGCTTTGAAATAGCTGAATCGGCTTCCATATCAAGAAACGTTTAGCCAGTAATAATAAGTAGTTGTATCAAACAAAGGTGAGTGTTATCCTGTCGTTTATTTTGGAACTCAACAATTAAAAAAATAACTGATTATGGCATTTGTGAAGTTTTGAGTATGGTTAGTGAGAATTTTCGTGAACCCCAAAAGAATGGAAATTTTATGAGGTTCTAAAGCAATTGCGACAGACGAGTAAATGTCAACAAAGATAACTTTGAAATAATAGAGGAGATTTGTAGCTTAGATAGATGATTTTGATGCAGTTGTATTCTCTGTGCTGGGTGATTTAATTAAAGAATTCAAGTAAGCTGACATCATGCTAAAGCTTGCGTTGAAGATATTATCTAGATAGGACAACGAAAGCTTCACAATTAAATCACCCAGCTTAGAGAACACAACTACATCACAAAGATAACTTTGCTAGATGTACACTAAAGATCGAATTCACATAAAAAATATCGAAATATATTACAGAATACTTCTCGTGTACATAATGTTGCCGATAATGAAAATAATAATTACAAATATTGTAATAATGAATCATTGAGTAGGTGAAATGGAAGTTTTTTCTTCACGTTCTTAATGGAACATAAGGCTTCAAGCTAATGGCTTGAAGTTTCTGTATCAATGTTTATTTTTACAGGATGGGGTTGCTAGCCTCATGCCCAACCCTTCCTCTTTACCAGCATTATTTCTGGCTTGGCCAGGTAAATGAGTGAGTCGGTCGGGAATCGAACTCCGAACCACGTGCATGGTCGGCGAGCGTCCTAACCGCTGTGCCAACGACGCACAAAAGTGCCACCGCGTCGCCACATCGATGCGTGTGGAGATGCCGGGGACCGAGCCCGGGACTTCTCGCATGCGAAGCGAGCGCTCTACCAATGAGCTACATCCCCACCTCACAAAATGGAAGTTAGTATCTATTAAAATTGTCCGACATGATTTTCAACAATGTGTGGATAAATATCAACTTACTGCTTGTTGTATCTTAAATGATCCACCTTGACTATCAATTGATTTTTTGATGACGTTCAATACTTCATTTAAATGGTCTAGACCCGCAGCTCTATCCATTGTTTGTGTCGTTAACACATAAAGCGGTGGTGCTATTAAATTAATCTGAAAAAGATTAAATATTTTATATCACTTACAACAACAATAGGATAAAATTAGACTGAGAATCAGTTTTAATGACTACATGACAAATAATTAATGCATTCATTACAACTTATACATATTTTATAGTCTGAGCTTTCATAACATAACAAAATGATAGAATCCGTAATTTGTAATTCAAAACAGATCAAAGTGGAAATTTTACCACAGTCTTTCATTGGAAACCGAAGTTATTCAGGTCACAATAAGTGATATTCTTGATAACATAAGTAGTAACAAAGAAAGCAAGCATAACTGCATGAGATTATTACATACCACTGACTGATGGATTGAGATGAGAACTTGTATACCACTCATATCAACCAGAAGTGTTTGCTAGCGATATCGAAGTGATCTAAACACCAGACGGCTGTTTCGCTCATCTGAAGCCAAAATGATTACTACACACAATGCACTCCCACATATCGCACCACTACCGAGGACAAATAAAGTTATACGTTTTGAATTGGTTGAATGGAGCGGCTAAATACTATTTGGTGGATAAGTTAGAAACGACTTCAAGCGACTGATGAGTAGTCACAAGACGAAAGAAACAATACTAACAGTAGCTTTATTCCGAACAGTACTTTTAAGTGCAAATATGGAATATTCAGTAAGTAATACAATATTGCATGTAATTTTCTCATCACAGGGGCGATAATTAGAACAGAGTTTTTACATTAACAATACTGTTCAATAAGAAGTCAATATAAAATTAAATCAAATGAAAATATTAGCGATAATGTAATAATGAGGACGAAAAACAATGCTGTTTACTTAGGGTTCCTCGGTAAGTTGGTAGTGTCCTGTTTTACACTCTTCTCATCACATAAAATGTTATGTATGCTAAATAACGTATCGTAGAGTTTTTGTACTTAGTCGTTCGACTATACAATCTTCTATATTTGCTTCTAGTTCTACCCAATGAGATGCAAAGAGAGAGTTGTATATGGAAAGGATGTTCAGATTCTTGCAGGAATCCAAGTGTCCATCTACAATAGTATTAACGAGTTGGTTTAACAACACCGCACCCACTGGCCCTACTGACAGTTTCTAGTGCCCCTCACAGTGTAACAAAGTCTTTTCTAAGTAGCCCGGGAAACATCAAGTGATAACAGTAATGAAGTATAGGCAGAATACGAGAATTAACAAACGGTAACAGTAGAGACGGAATGACACCAGTGTCTTAACTTCCTTACATAGTAAGTCAAACGAAATGTTTTTCTGGAAACTAACATGATGTGGAAAGACCAGGAAACACAGGTCAGAGGAAATACACACTCCAAGGTATTTAACATTTGATTTGTACACATTTATTAGACATTTTTCTGTAAGTACTGACTTATTGGATTTGAATTTGACCAACCCCAAAACAAATGATGATTAGTATTAGAGCGTCAAGGAGTATTGGAACTATATATCTCGGAAAGGTACGTTAACCTTAATTTAGGTCAAGACATCTTCACAGTGTTATTTTAAAAACTGCATTTCAGTCCCTTCTTAACATACCACGTGTTGTTTGGATATAAGGGTTCATTAACTAATGTATGTTACTATTTTTCCGTAGTGAAAATCACCCACTTCATTTTTTTGAGTTATTGCACAATGTAACGAGCTAATTAGCGTGTGTATATACATGAAAGAATTCTCAACTGTTTTTTGTTGTGCTAAGCAGTCTTCTCTTCTATTATTACGAAGATTAATTGGGCGAAGCGTGATATGTGATTCAGTGCAAAACTGCTTGCAGAGAGTACAGCAACAGGGCCTCTGTTTCAGGTAATTAACATGAGTACTATTTTTGGACCATGTAAACCTACGAAATTTGTGGAGGATCAGCTAATCACGTGGCTGCCACAACACAAAGGAAAGCAATTTGTCGTACAATTTGGAATTGATAGTGTTCTCTGAGCTCCTTGGTTTAATTGCGGAGCTTTCATCGTCTTTCTGGACGACATCTTCAGCGCAGTATTTGGGATAAAGAAATAAGAAAAAGGCGAGTGCCATTATAACCAATAAATTCTTATTACAAATTAGCTGAAAACCACACACAACAAACTGTATAGTGTTCACCAGTCAGCACTTTTTTTGATGAACCAGCTTATGCTTTCTTACTATAACAACAAGTGTTTCACTATTTTCTTTTGACTTAATTCGCTTCAGTACGAAACTGGAGTTTGTACATTTCTAGTACAGTAATATATCAGCCTACCTAGTTAATGCGTAGAAGTGACCACACTAGACCAGCTATTATCCGAAATAATATTACCTGGCTGTGAGAAATGGTTGCCAACAGGAACGCTGTAGCCTGTGACTCACCGGTAACGCAATTTTGCATGGTTATTCCAGTGAGTTAGGTTAGTAAAACTTCGAATGTAATAATAATTTGCTGTTTTATATGCTAAACTGTGAGTTACAACTATTTGTGTACGTAGAAAAGGAACAATTGAGACAGGATAAAATTAGTCAATCGGTTTCGATAATTACGCAGTACTCAGTAACGAAACTTTTACTAGTTAACTGATGAGTGAAAAAACAACAAGTGGCATAGCAACGAGATCATTCGCTAACTGAAGCAACTTACCCGGATAGGAAGAGAATCTGAATTAAGATCCAGTCCAGATCGAAGTGCACTCTTGACAGCATCTATACCATCATAAGTGAAACATGAAACTTCAAAATCAGCACGAATTTTGACTGCTTTCGGTGTTAATCTATGTCTGATGTCTATAAGAAGCATTTCTTTCGTTGCTTCATCTATATCACATTCATCCAGAATCTCTGGTGAGCTGCATTGAGATATGAAAAAAATAATACAGAAGTTTGAGCACTCACAGAAGCAGCTAGGTGTTGGTTAATTCATTTGAGATATTCTTCATACAGAAAATTATTACAGTACAATGTAAAGAATAACAATTCAAACTCGAACAAACTTGGATTTCCTAAATTTTAGTATTTGGAGTTCACTAACAATAATGGCTTATGATTGTATGATTTTTCATGATACTATTTTTTTCAGTAACAGTTTGACATTCAAACATGATATTTCATTGATGAGCTGCAGAGTGCATCATCGGAAGTATATGCTGGTTATGAGAATACAGAAGAATTTGTATGTTGAGACATTCGATTTGAACTTAATAAAATAATAAAGTGTTTTAATTGAATTAGTGCGGGCTGCACTCCAATGCTATGACTGAAAAGAACACTTGTCAAGCACTCAGTCAGTTATCACCTATTTTCATATTGTTGTGTCGCGCTAACACATTCAATATGCTAGGAACATACTTAAATGCGTAAAGTATTATGGATCACACTGAAAAAATACTTTTAATATACATTTTGCTCAGTCTCTAAATGATTTGCTAAAATAATTCCACAGGAAGGAACTGTTAGAAAGTATCCTTATGAGTAATTATTCTTGTGATGCAAACTTGTTAACTGCTCAAGGCCTATAGTGTAATATGTGCTACTTTTAACACCAGATACAAGTAGTATGTGGTGTAACGTCTCCAGGGAAAACAGATAATTTATATGTAACTGGAAAAGGTGATGAAGGAGAAGCGTAGGGTAGAAGGTTGAGATTCTCAAATGAAACTGAATAAGAGGTAATGAAGAATAAGGTGTACATAACAACTAATACAATTTGTCAGATTTATTATTTTATGTTCATTAAGACTGAATTTATCCTCAACAGTAGTCGTTATAGAATCAAAAACCAGAGAAAAATTAAGAACTGACATTGTTTAGCAACTCGCAGTATGCATGCCCAGACAATGCATTATACTGAAAACCGGTCATACTATGGGGAAGACAGACTAAAAAGACTGAAATAATGAAGGGGCTTATCATTAGACAGTCAAGATTCAATTAAGAAACAGAGCTGAAGTCTAGTAAACCTTCAATTTAGAACAGTTTGATGTAGAAACGCACTTCAATTCTGAGGTATTAATTAATTAATGTTTTAGAAGTTTAAACTAGATCCCAATCACTGTGGATTTATTACTAAAACTTTTATAATGTCACACTCTTGTAACACACATGCCATGTAACTAGTATTAAAGGGTATTAAGGTATATTAGTTTTAGAAGCCTACATCTCCTCAGAAGAAACTACAGGTAAGTCGTGTGAAGACAAACTGTGTAAAACACAACACTGCCCGAAAATCAAACTGACATTAGAAGTTTACAAAAACACCTGAGTTTCAACACAAAACCTAGAACATAAGTGCAGCAGATCAGGTTCAAGTGGAAGAAGACGATGGCTCTTTATCAGAAACATGTGTCCTAGCCAATGTAATCGATATGGCTTCACAATATAGTCGATTGAGTTGCCCTCTATACCTAACACCCTACGCTTAACCCCGATATTATACCAATTTAAGCAAATACCACTACTTAAGAAAATGAAACGATTTTTCAGCTATTTGTCATTTACAGTTCAGTAAAAGAAAAAACTTAAGTAACAACTCACTCTAAAGTACAAAATGTTTTGTTTTACCACATACGAAAGTTAGTGACTATAGCAATGGAGAAAGTCAACCTATATTAGATGTGAATATCAAACGCACAAAAAAACATCTTCGAAATACAATGAACTGCTGTGATATCTAACAAAACAGAATTCCGATCACAATCTGTTCAGAATGAGTATGAACTTATACTCGGCAAGGAAATCATATACTTGATTAGAATAAAACTGTTCATTTATATCTACAATATAGTCATTGGTGATATCATGAAAGCATTTGACTGAACATCAACAAGAACATTTATAAATATTATCGTGACGTAATTAGAAAATAAAAGCAAGATTTTCCTCAGCTTTTCAGAGAAAACTAGTTATCTAGTAAAACTGCTCAAATTTTATCATAAGGCGAAATATGTAATCAAACAGAACAGAGATGAGCTTGCTGGTAGTTATTGTTTAGGAGTTTCTTTCATACTGATAAGATGTGATTAGCGGTCACACCTGAATACTTTTTTTCTGAATGGACTTGATCTATTTAATTAGCATAATGCAAGTATATTTTTATGCTTTTCGACTACACTGTGACTTTTTGACATGAGTGGAGCAGGTAAGTTGTATCTTATGCAGCAAAGAGTCTAGGAAAAACCTGTTTTGTCTTAATAAAACTGCTGTCATTGGACTTATAAAGTAATATGCCCAGAACTATATCAATACTGCCTATGGCCATTTAAGTGTACTACGAAAACAGTGAAAAATGAGTCTTCAGATAAATCCGTAAGATGCCAATTAAAAAACAAAAACTAGTATAAGAGTAAAACTTACGTAAAATAGCAAAGTCTAAGTGGAATAATACGTTAACTTAAGAGTCACATTAACTAATCAACTGAACAAATTTCTTGTAAATTACCGTGTCAATGAGTGAACAATTTTAGAGCTTCACAAAATAAACTGTTAGTCAGTATATTTCGATTTGCTACAGAGAAAATATGTAAGTTTAGTTCCCCTCATGTCTTTCGTTCAAGCCATTCTGATCAATCTTATTTTTTGATAACAAGAGCGAAACATACTGTTCTTTTTAACCTTTCAATCATAATGCCTTCTAGTACTATAACTGGCTCTTTCATTCGACATCCAATTTCTATATAAAATGGCTTGACAGATAAATGTGTGATACAAAGCCTTCAGATACTTTGCTTGAATATCCTAGATTTCATGTATAAACTTTGCACTTCGTTATACAATAATGTGAAGTGTGATATTAGTTCTTCATTAACCACTCTTGTCATGAATGTAGTTTATAAACGTAACAAAGAAAATAAAACGGTCATGGAGTCTACATGCTGGTGGATCTCTACTAAATAAATCAAAGAATAAATGCCGGGAATGAAATGTTGTGCTTTCTATTCTCTAGCCAATTAAAGTGATAAGTAGCAGATTAACAGAAAAGCATTTATCATCTATTTAGAGGTAATTGAAGGCTCTAACAAGTACCCTAATAAAGGTCATACTTCGAATTAGTGGTTGTCACTTGATGACTGCAGCATAAACGTGCCTACTAAGTGTCTCTTCAAACGTATTTTATTTAGGTATGAATTTGTTACAACATGAACTCAGAAAAATGCACCAGACGGAAAAACATAGCAGCAGTATAAAGAGTGGAGAGAAAAAAGATGATTGGGTACTAACAATTAGACGTACTAATGGGACTAATCAAAAGTGGTACATAATGACCAGTGAGTCACATGACTTTTAAGGTCTAATCCGGCAATTCGTGATTTACCAACAAATACCAGCCCAACAGTTAAGGTACATTTTACGGCCCTATGTCATGCAACAACCACTTTTCTCAACTAGTTCTAGGGTGACTAAACCTTGGACGGTAGGTTGACTGCTGAAATGACCTTAATGCATGTATCTCAAGACAAATTACAGAAATTCAACCCCTTCGAACGGGTGCTGCTACACTTTGTCCTAGTGAACATATTTACAACAGTCCCAATATCATGAAATACGGTTATCAGCTTGTAGCAGATGTGATGGCGTTCAAACAAATGATGAGTAAACACTTGACCAATGCATCTAGTAGCTGAATATATCAGTTTTCCCAGAGTTTTGAAAAGCTTGTGAAGTATGATAGCGGCGAATAATTTCAAGACTATGACCCAGTGCATGTTAAATAAATACCAAAGACCAGTTAGAAACAGGGTAAACCACTTGGACCTGGTGTTAATCAACACCAGAAATCTTTAGAAAGAAACTGTGAGCTATTTTCAATAGTCACGTTTCCCATAAAGTGGTGCGCAGTGTTATGTTTGACGCTCAATGAGCAATCGGGTTTCACCCATCTCACTTTGTGAGAGATATATGCTCTATTCGACTTAGTGTCGAAATATATTCAGTCTAACCAGAAATCCAAAGTTCTGCAACAATTTGTGAATCAAACAATAATATCAGTGGTTTCTAAATGATTACATGCGATTTAGCATCCAAACAACCAAGTAAACATGTTGAGTATACCACCTTATTACGTGTGTACTGTTATAAGTGAGCTCAAAATAGTTGTGTTTCAACTAGTATGTCATTTACGAAAAAACCCAATCTTTGTACCAAAACAACAGCTAAAGACGAGCAAGCTGTTCCTGAAATCAATCGTCCGGACTAACGAAATGTTCGACTCCTGGGCTAGCGGCTTCGACCAAAACATTTCATGCTAGAATTTCCTGGGAAATATAACTGAATGATAATTCGGTACTTTGTTGGTAAGTAGAATCTGTTAGTGATTGTTACAAAATACCTATCCAAACCAAGTCCTATTCATATGCCATAGGTTACAGAATACAAAAAGACGGATATTATTGGGATAAAACCGAAAAAACCTCCCAGGTATAATATACGAAAACCTGGGACAACAGAAGACAATATCAGCAAAATTGAGCAGAAGTGATTATTGGAGAAAGATACTACCTCCACATCCACAGAATGAGTGTAGACTTTCTTTGTAAACTTTTTCACTTAAAATGTGACCACATACATATCTATTTTAAAATATTTCTAAAAGTTGTATAACCACAAATTGAGCTTAAAATATCAGCATAAACTGAGTAAAAACTGACTTGACAACTCTTTTGAAAACGTCATAAGACCCAGCTTTTCTGCCTGTTTTCTTATCGAAGTACCAAGCAGTCTTCTTACATAGCTCTTCAAGCTGTTCATCAGTCTCGTAATTTAACTTTTCGGCAACATTTCTCAATATCTGGTTAACCTGCATGTATACGTTAGGGGAATATTTAGGACACAAACCGCCTTTGCTTTAGCAAACCTTTCTTTACATTTCGCTATCTCCTCAGCAGATGCTCTTCTTTTTGACAAATCGATATAACCTGTGAATTATTTTATAAATGACTGAGTTACCTTTGTCACTATCAACACGGACCACTGTTACTTCCGTATTGGATCCAATACGAACCAGCTTGCTAATAGATCGTATACGCCGACGTGACAGTTCACTATGTAATATCATGCCTCCAATGTTCTTGTATTCTAGTAGCTCTACATAGCTGCCCATTGACTGTATGACTTTCACCATCACAACGACAACATCCCCAACGTCAGGAAATAAATCCTCGTAAAATCTACACTGGATGGGCATGGCACAACCACTTCTGGACTGGCGGATCTGTCAAGGAATAGAACGACAACTGTGCAGCCAAGAAGCTAGCACGCGTATTGTCAGTTCTGATACACCCGCCACTCGGTTCAAGGTCAGTGTCAACATACAGACCTCTGATATCCACTATCCAATAGACTTTTAACGAGCTCCTGTGCGACCGGCTGACCTATTCGCGCCTGTTTCCTGGTTGTTCAGCATAGTTTTATGGCCTTCGTAAACCTCTGCCTCGTCTGTCACTCCATTCGCCCTCGTGCCCTCGGTTGCCTCCTAAGGGAGTGGCTTGAAAGACTAATCTTGGTTTCCTAAACTGAGTTCTTATGGTCTTTCCATTGTGGCTTAATGTGCAATATCCTAGATAAGTTTTCTTCTGTTTAATTTGCAAAGCGATCTATTCGGCTGTCCGTTAGAAGACGAACTCAATGTTTCAGCTATTTCTGTATCAGTGAAATGTTGAACATTTATAATAATGACAGTACATTATTGACGCAAACTTAAAGTGTTTGCATGATCAACATACCGCTTATGCAAGAGTGATCGTATATGATATAATGGTACAATCAGCTTAGTGACCAAAGTGTACACTGGTTTCGGGATGTGAAGTACATTATTAGTCTGAAAAATACAGAGAAAATGAACTATGCTCACTGAATTACGCGCATGTGACAACAATAACCATTAATAATTATGACTTCAGATTATTTATATCAATGCACTGAACAACAGGTTGTTAATGACTTATAGAACCAAACTGCTAAAATGAGAGGTACACACTAGATAAACGTTTTATGAAACTGTCTCACTGAATTACGAATTACAAATTAATGGATTATATTAAAATTTTATACACAAAAGCAACAACCACCTACCAATTTTGGGGCAGGGGTATGTAAATTTTGAGTTGTAGGGAGGTAACTGGATGTACGAATTGACTGAGGCTGAGAAGAAATAGATTACCGAACTACCCATATGATACTGGTTAACAAGAAAAGGAGCATGTCCCCTGGTTGATTTTTATTTCCTACACTAATCGGCCCACGTTCATGGTGTTTTGCAGGATTTTCCGGGAAGCTTTGTCCGAAATGACCTCTTGTGTCGGTTTCTGATTCCGAAGTAAGTTTAACTGTCAGTCAACCTCCTGCAGAGTGGCTCTACAATCCCGGTTGTTCACCTGGATTGCAGAGTATCCCATCTCTCCCTAGCCGTGGGTGTGTACTGTGACTAGACGGTGGTATTCGAGATCGCAGTGTGAATAATGCCATTTTCCGGTATTCATTTATTGTTAGTTTAGCACAGTTTCTGGGTCACTCTATGTTAGACAAGATTTTTGGCATCCCGATGTAGTTGGCTCTGCTGTAGCACAGACAGTGACTCGTAGCACGTCACTTAAGGCTCTGGGAAAGGAACAGCTCAGACAATATGAACTGATGGTCTCTGCTACTTAGAGGCGCCTTGATCTGAATGTCTTCCATGAGTAAATGGTCTCTAGTTAGAACATAGTCTAGTTTTCATAACTTTTTACCTGGTTTCGTCTTCAACCTCCCCAATCAGTCCAGCACTTCTGATGGTGCGCAGCAGGTTTCCATCAAATTTTCCCTGACTGCATCCCGACTTCGCGTTAAGAGATGGAACACTGAAGTCTCTAGCCACAGTGATTTGGTCATGGCTCAGGTTCAGTATTTCCGTGGTGGTGCTGAGCAGTTGCTGCTTGCATTCTCCTCCACATGAGGGTGGTAGATGGTTGTCACCAAATAAATGTCTGGTTTGGCCAGCTGTAGAAAGGCACTGCATATAGTATGGGTGTCAATGTAGTTGAAGATTGAACGATCAATTCATGGTTGTTTGCTCAAACCCAACTTCCTTATATCGAAAACAGAAGATTTGTAAACACAAATATGAATTATAGTACTTACAGCGCAAAACCATAAATGTGAAGAACTCGACCTTCACTGGTGGTTGGTGCAGCCTGTGATGGTCCTTTAGTGGAAACCATACATTTCTACAAATATGTTTGTACCTATGTAAGATAACATCTTGTTTGTCGCTGCTGATTATTTAAGAACCTTAATAAATATTAACTCCTGAATTTCTAATTTTACGATTTATTTTGTGGTTAATGATGTCGTATGTGTCTTAGGCAGCAAAAGCATAAAACTGAGTCAAAAGGGAACCGCTTCTGTTAATTCATGTGTGTATAATTCAGGTGTCACTAGAAACGCGTATAAGCTATGAGGCAGTGTTAAACTTCCCATTCCAGACGCAAACTGATGAAAATTGGCAAATCCTTGGGCGGCGGTTGATATGTTTCTATCATGAGTACTGGAATTTCCATATCATGCTGCTTAAATTACAAGCTAGAGCGTAGTGGAGCCCCTTTCAGAGAGGCTGTATATCGAAAGCTGGGTTTTAGTAAACTAATTGCCCAGTCTTCGTAGTTTTCATTTCAGAAGCAATGTAACGCCTTTTTAAACGCTAATTACTATGAAAATATTGTTTACCGATATGAAAAATGTGTATTTGTAGTTCGACATTCGTCAGTGAGATACTAATATCACTTGGGGACAAGACTTGTGTCTCGTAATCCTGGCTTGAAGCTCACAATAAGCTACCGTTATATAAAACGTTACAAATCCCAACACGCGGCTGACAAATCAGGAATTATCGAACAAGAATCTGACTGTTCGAATAAGTAGATACCACTTTAGGCGCACGCGCTCGCTAAGTCTGGTAAACTATGGAAAACCATGGCAGTTGTTGCTCGTTATGAAGAAAACCAGATCAATTCCACACACACATTGTCAATGTCGTTAAAGATTGAACGATCAATTCATGGTTGTTTGCTCAAACCCAACTTCATTATATTTTTCGCGGAGACATCGATACACCAGTCATCGTCTCATCGGTCGCTGCTCAGAAAGAAGTCAGGCCAAAACTGTCAGAAACCTTAGTTAAAGCTTAATTTTAAAGTTGGCCATATATTGGTGTTACAATAAAGAATTCTCGAGTAGTCAATCGGTGTTTTGGTTTTGCGTCCGTTATTACTAAGCGTTTCTGAGAAACTTCAAGGAACAGCATGAGTCCCAGGGTAGCAAGAGCTGGGCATTGACGGTTTACGAGACCTGGTTGACAGTGGGAGTTCAGCGAATTGTGAGTCCACTACTCGTACTCACCTTAGCCACATTTTAATGCATGTGGCAACTTTAAACCCTTCATTTTGAATCCTGTTCCGCTTAACTAGAGCCGTATCTCTTCTGGTGACCTCCTTCTTGGTTGTGATTGAGATTAACCGGCTTTCCGCCATTGTTATAATCATTAAGTAAATATGGGACTGTAGGTTTCCAAGTTCTTTTTTTACCCTCAACTCTCCCACGTCACCATATGGGCGGCGGATTACTGGTCTCACCACCTCTCTTTGTTGTGGGGCAGTTAATGGGGGGTCGGCCGCTGGTTGAGCAGTCAGTGTTCGAACAAGTTGGCCGATTCCGGTGGTAACAGTCAGTCGCCATTTTTCTCCCTAAATCATATTAAGACACTTAGGCAGTAGTGTTTGTCGTTTCTCCTAGTCTTTCTCCTTTGCAGTTTGGCTGAGGTTTGAGCATGCACCATAACTTCAGTTTTCTTCTTCTTTAAGGTTGAAGGTCAGCTTCCACAGCGTCCTACATGTTTACCAAAATCGTCCTCGGCCTCACACCATTGTTGGAGCAGTACAACCATTTGCTCCTGGGAACTGGACTCGGCAGTTGTGCGCCGATGGACGTGAGGTGAATAGGACCAAGCAATATAGAACTAGGGCCTACATAAGCAAAACTAAAGGATGTTTCAATGGATAACCATCTTCACCGACTTACATTGTGTGTATCATTCTTCCTGGTTACGAAACACCGTACATGACAACGGTAAACAAAGAATTGTTACAGATCGAAAGGTGCAGTCCGTTCTACTAGAATGACACTTCACAACAGTAACATGAAAAACATGAGGCAGATTCTCACATTGTAGTCGAAGATTGAACGATCGATTCATGGTTGTTTGCTCAAACCCAACTCCTCCATATTCTTCTCGGGTGCCATCAATCCGGCAGTCATCGTCTCATCGTTCGCTGTTCGGTGGAAGACAGAAAACTATCAGAAGTTTTACCGTGATTTATTGTTACAACATTTATTCTTAGATTTTTGTATAATAACCTTATTGTTGGTTACATATTGGCGTAAGAATAAAGGATTCCCGAGTCGCCAATCTGTGTTCTGGTTTTCCGCGTTGGTTAATACAAATTGTTTCTGAAAGTCTTTCACAGACAGCGTGAGGTCCAGCGTAGTAAGAGCTGGACATTGACAAGAGAAGATACGAAATTTTCTGTGTGGCAGTGTAACCGGCCCAATTATGGATAAGATTTTAATTTGACAAATCACACTGTTGTACAATAACCTTAACTGATGACGTTTTGAGCACAAACTATTGCTGTCAGCCACGTCTCGTAAACCGTTAATGCCCAGCTCTCGCTACGCTCGGGCTCACGCTGTTCCTTGAAGTTTTCAGAAACGCTTAGTTATAACGGACGCGAAAACCAAAACACCGATCTGCCGCTTGAGATTTCTTTATTGTTACACCAACATATAGGAGGAATAACTGAACTAAGGTCTGTGAACAAATATTACAATAATAAATCACAATATTACTTCTGACGATGTTTTACTCTTCTTTCTGAACAGCGACCGATGAGACGATGACTGTCGTATTGATGCCTCCGCGAAAATTGGGGAAGTTGATTTTGAGCAAACAACCATGAATTGATCGTTCAATCTTCAACTCCATTGACACTCCCCGGCAAAAAGAGGGATCCATCCCTTTCTTTCATCACAATCAATACACGTTGACTTGGATGCCATTGCGAGAACCTGGGTCACACGGACAGAGCTGAAATAGAAAACAAGCAGCAAAGCCAACACACCACAGGCATATCCACAGCGCAATCACACTCATCGACGGAGACCTATGCCTTCCAGTTAAAGGCATCCTCTCGACATCTTGTAAAACAATCGTCACTTGCTAGAATGACTCTTGCAGAATGCAACGTGACCATATCAGCACCCCACG